CTAACCATGGCTTATACTCAATACAATTTACAGTTTTTTGCACGAATTTTTATTTTTCACTTTATTTGTTTGAATTTTAAATTAATTTTTATTTGTTTTGCTTAAAATTAGAAAATAGGAATTGAAAGTTTGCTTTAACTTAATAGTAATCAGTTTTTGAAGCATTATTTAAAGATATTCTATATTCTATAGAAAGCTTTTTGAGAAAATATGTTATATTTTGTGATTAAACAGAAATTATGTGGAGAAGGAATTGGTTGGACAGAGATTGGAGGCAACGGTTGATAGACTTGAAAATGAAGGCATCGATGCAAAGGAAGGAAGGGATGACTTCTTGGAGTTAATGTTAGAGCATTATGTGAGAAACCCTTCGTCCATGAGTTGGTCGGTATGTATGTATGAAATCGGGGACTTAGTTGGGGGCCACTCGGCGGTCGGAAACCTATTGATGCGTTTGATTGGATTCGTGGCACTCAATCCCAACGTTCAGAACCAGCTCTACATTGAGGCGAAGAATGCACTGAAAAGGCGTCCAAACGATGAGGGGATCATTAATTTAGAGCACCGGCCGGTTATGCCTTTAACTGAAGCCAGTATTCTAGAGACACTTCGTCTGACATCCTCACCAATTGTGCCGCACGTCAACAAAGTGGACGCAACCCTTCAAGGTATATGTCATTTCATTTAATAGCAATAAATACACAAAGTTTTCTAAATTAAAATAACTTTTTCATTTGAACATTGGATTGCATTTTGTTTGTCATGACATTTGAATAGACTATGATATAGAGAAGGGAACAATGATATTATTCAACACATATTACCTGAATATGTCTGCGGAGTACTGGTCGGATCCACAACAGTTCAAACCGTCGCGTTTCGTGTCTTCGAGTGGAAGTGTTAGCCATATATCAAAACCGGACCACTTTTTCCCCTTCTCAAGTGGACGTCGCGCGTGTTTGGGTTACAAAATGGTTCAAACGATTACATTCACAGCAATCGCTAATTTGGTTCTCAATTTCGAAATCTCTGCCCTAAATGATGAACAACGCTCTGAAATGAGCCGACAATTGGCCCCAAAAGGCTGTCTGGCATTGGATTTGTCAGACAAATGCTTTAAGGTTTCCCTAAGTCCAAGGCCTGAGAAATAAGTAGTTTTTATATTAATTTTAAATTTAATGTCATGTGAAGACAGTTCTCATAAATTTAGTTAATTTTTTTTTCTAAGCTTTCATTTCTTACATTTCCCTAATTTATTAAATATAAAGCAAAATGTTATAAATTTTCCCATATTTTCCATCCGATTATAAATTAGAATATGTATCACAAGTTTTTGGTTTCGGTTATTATAGAAATAGTTTTCATATTAATTGTATTTAATTTAAAATATTCAATATATGGCTTAATTTTAGTGCATTTATGTAAATGTTTTACTCAATCGTAAATCTATTTGGAAATAAATTCAATTCTTGTTCACAAAGATCTTGAGTTTGAATTAATTATGTGAAGGAAATTCTTTCCAACTTTTGAGACCATATATTACACACAATAAACAGGAGATTGAAACTTCTGCCAAAAAATATTGAATTCATAAATATTAGGAATGAATGCACAGAATAT